CATTTTTTCACTTACATCCTCAGTGTTAAGTACATAATACTTAATATATACTTTAAAATTCATTCATTAATATAGAGATTTACTTATGGATATGATGTCTCTTTCAGCATAGAGACAGACATTATTGATATGGCATGTTACCTTACTAATGTGTTGAAATTGTATAGTTAATAGTGTACACACACACACACACGGTTTCTTTTGATCAAATAGGAGACTGAAGTTTTCCTTTATTATTTCTGCAAATTGCTTAACCAGGTGATTCATTCAAAGTCATTCTCACTTTTGTCAGAAATGTGGGTTTCATTATTTATTATCACAGCATCCATATCCTCAGATTGTAAACCAGCCTTTGTTCAAAGTGATTTTCCTTAACAACTGGCTAACTTGGGGAAACTGAATCTGACTTTCAATTCTTGCTTTTCTTAATGAAGTAAGTTTTTCCAAAGTGAGAGATCCCTTTGAAGGGATCCTTTGAAGGGAGAAGTTCACTTGAGGTTCTTTTTCAATACTGTGTCTTATTTCCTAAGTCCCCTGACAAAGGACAATGTGGTTTTTGGGTAGACAATGTGAAATAAGTCTTCAAGACATGAGTGAGTTGACGATGTCAGTGATGCATTGTGGTTTAGTGGAGAGATAAAAGGCCTCGGTTCAAGGGCTCCTTTGACTTGGCCGTGTTGTGATCCTGGCCAAATCAATCCCTCAGTGTTCTGGACATCTCTCTTAAGGCCATCAGTTGTAGAGAAGATGTTGATGTAGATGTATAGGAGTTTTCTCACCCCAAAATTCCATGTACTAATGAAATGACAGGTCTTGTCCCCTATCCCCTATGGAGTTTAAGAATAAAGTTGCTCTCAAAATATTTTTAATTAATAAAAAAAGCTTTAGTGGTGCCTTTTATTTTTTACACAACAGGCATTTCTGGATAGAAGGGCACAGTGCCTCTTCCCGCTGCCCCTCTATCCCAGACTGAACCCTTAAAATAAAAGGGTTAAAAAGTTAAACAAAAACAGATATCGTGTAGAACTATATGACAATCTATACAACATGTGATCCCTTTTGCTTTGCTGAGTGAATTAATTCTCTTTTTCTTCTCTGAGACCAAAATTTGTTATTATAATTATCCAGAGGTTAGTTTCCTTCCCTCATCCTTTTGATTTACATTTTTCTTGTCATTGTGTATATTTTTCTGCTTATTTCATTGTGAATTAGTTTGAGATTTTTTTGTGTCATGAATGCCTCCCTTTTTCCTCCTCCCCCACCTTGGCAGCCTGGTAAAGCCCAAAGGCCCCTTGTCTAAGAAAAATGTTTTTAAGTGTATAAGACAAGAGAATTAAAAAGAAACCAATTATAGTTAACAAAATATTTTTTAAAGCAACTCCAGATTAAGAGCCCTTAGTTAGGCAGATGGGCAGCTAAGTGGTATGGTGGATAGAGTGCCAGGCCTGGAGTCAGGAAGATCTGAGTTCAGATCCAGCCACAGACACTTACTAGCTATGTGTAGGTGTATATGTGGGCAACTGCTAGGTAGTATAGTGGATAGAGTGCTGGGCCTGGACTCAGGAAGATGAGTCTTCCAGAGTTCAAATCTGGCCTCAGATACTAGTGTGGGACCCTGGGCAAGTCACTTAATCCTATTTGCCTCAGTTTCCCCAACTGTAAGATGAGCTGGAAATGGCATACACTCCAGTATATTTGCCTAGAAAACCCCAAATGGAATCATGAAGAGTTGTACATGACTGAACAACAACATTTAGGCAGATTTGCTAATTTCCTATGATTTTCTTGTGGTCTTAATTTCTTAGTGGATAATAATTTCATATATAATAGAACATCCATTTTGTTTCTAGTTCTTTGTTAACACAAAATATTGCTTTATGAATGTAACTCTTAAGAGTATTAACTGTGCTTTTCATTTTACATTGAAAAATGGATTTTTCTTGAAATGCTTGCATTTCAGAGGAGTAAAAAATATAGAGAGCAGCTTCTGTCAAAATAACATTAAGTCTGGTTATCTTTGATAATAGCATCCAATTTGAAGTGGTACAAAAGCTATTATGTCAAAGAGGGAAGAAAATACATAATTATAAGCCCTTAATTTTAAAAAATCATTTACATATTTAGTGCAGTGAAATCCATTTGACAATATGAAGAGAAAGTGCAGCATCTTTATCTTCTTGACTTGATAAGTCACTGCCTTTGAATTGTCCATTCTACTGTATGCTCGCAGACTTCTTTACAGAGTGATCTGCATTCTGACTGCACCATTCAAAGAAACCTATTTCAGTTACTATGTCTAAGCTCTTTATTCTCAAGCCCCGTATTACACTGTAAGTTACGTGAGGGCAGGGATTATATCATTTTGACCTTTTTAATCTCCAGCACCTTGCATGTGGTCGGCACTTCCACAGGTTGACATCAAAGGTTCCAATATAAAATTTCACAGCATCTTAAAATTTGTCTGAAATTTAGCATCAAAGGTGCCATCCAGTTGTGTACTGTCAATTTCTCACTGTGTTGTTTTTTTCTTGATTGAGATCGTTCAGGATCAGCAGGGACTTGGACCCATATAGCACTCAATATGCAGCAGCCGAGTTCCTTTGCTGATTGCTCGTCTTCATGTTGTAGGAGTTAAAACAATTTCTTGAAGAACAGGAAAAAAAAAAGGCAGCCTATGACTTACATATAAATAACCACCCAGGAAGAGCCCATTACAAGAATTCCACTTTGCTCCCATCACCAGCATCCCCTCCATTCTAGACATTCCATTTATCTAGTATCCCTCTACCATTACCCTTCTGCACTTCTCAGCTCTAGGAGGCTTAGTACAGGTCAATAGTGAAATGTTTGCTGATGAGGCTGACCAGAATCAGAAGAGATACAGATGGAAACATAACTGCATGGAGCACAGATACTTTGGTTCATATCCCTGCTTTGCCATTTTCTCTCTGTGCAGTGGTCTTCTGCAAAAACAAACAAACAAAAAAAAAACCCACAACCACTCGGTTTCTTTTTTTAATAAAATGAAGAATTTGACAAAAAAGACCTCTATAGGCTTTTCCATATCTAAAATCCAATTATAGAGTAGAGAGAAGGAAGTGTAATCCCTGGGGCTGTTGTTGCCCTCCTACCATGGGGAAATCCCCATTCTAAGCCTTGATCATGGACAGACAAGGAGAATTGATGATTCCAACATCACAGGCCACACAAGTTGAAGCTGGGGTTTTGGTCTCCCAAGCTGAGAATCTGAAAGCATTTTTGCCCAATGGAAATAGTGTCACACATGATAAGAAGTTCTGGTAACTATGGTTACCATGTGATCTTTTTTTTTTCCACAGAGCTTCAAGCACTTTATGGATAAAATAGATTTTTGTCTGGCTTATCTGGGAACCTAACCACCATGGAGAGCATTGGGTTTTGTTTTTGTTTTTGTTTTTTCCTTTTTTGTTATTGTTGTTGTTGTTGGGAAGTGCAGCTCAATGTTCATAACAAATTATTTGCAAATTAACTTTTGTAGCACAACCCTTGTGTAAGATGAGAACTGCATGTAAAAACAATGCAAATCTCAGCAGCAGCTTTTGTTTAAGAAAGGAAAATAAACAAATCTGTGTCCTGTATTAGAAACTTGGAAAACCTGCTCCCTGGTCATTTTTGAGCTCCTCAAAGGGGAACTCGCCTTCCAAATGAATTCCAGGGAGCAGGATTCTCTTACTGTGATCTATGGGAAAATGTAGTTTTGTGAAATTGTATTTAGTTCCATACCTCCACCTAGTGGCTGGATGAACTTTTGATATAAAACGGAACCCATGATTTAAAAAGTGGCTGACATTTTAAAAAAAATATCTTGGAGGTCTTAGCAAGTACATGAGATCCAGAACTGGAAGAGAGCTCAGAGGTTATCTAGCCCAACCTCCTCTTTGCTACAGATGAGGGAAGTGAGGTTCATTGAAGTTGTGACTTTCCAAGGACAGAGGTACGATTTGAACTCAATTTGTGAGGACCCTGGGATAAGGTATTTCACTAAATGACTTTTCTTTGTGTTATCATGAAAAACAATGATCAAATAAATTTAAATTAATTAACTACTAAGGACTGATCCATACTGGGCTTTAAAAGGTCAATTTAAGACATTTAAATATTTAGAAAAACATTTAATTCTTTAATTTTTAAAATTCTTTTTAAATTTTATTTTAATTCTTTTTTTAAAGAAAGGTTGACAATTTCATGTTATACAGACTTTCGTGCATGTTAACATGATTTATAATTCAATTCAATACAGATTGATTAACATCTACTTGATGAGCAACACTTTGTGAGTTGCTTAGGGGTTCAGAGATGAAGGAAGACATAATCTCTGCCTTCAAGGAGTTTATAGTCTTGGGGGGAAAATATGTTGTTTGGATAGGGGTGTGGGGGGTGTGTGTGTGTGTGTTGAGAGTGAGAGAGGAGAAAAGGAGAAAGAAGAAAAAAAAGTGAGAGATCTCAACTCCTTCACTTGTATAACCTGGGGCAAGTCATTAAATCTCTGCATCTCAGTTTCTTTTGTATAAAATGGCTTTCACACTTGGTTGCCCTTGATATCACTTGAAATCTTATGTTGCAAAATATGCATATTGTACTGCCAGGGTCAGAGCCAAAGTGATTCGAAGGGGAGAGATCAGTAACAGGAAAGAATGAACAGTCTCGAAATGCTTTGTGGAAGGTGGGGAGCTCCTGAGGTGGGCCTGGAAAGTAGGGTAGGGTGGTACAGTGATGGTGCACACAAAGGCACAGGGACTGTCTTTCCGGCAAGTATTTCATTCTCTGGACCATCGGTCAGCATTAGGACTGCAGTGAAGTCTGTGCCAGAAGCCTTGTAGAGGTTTACAGGAGGGTGGGGAGAAACTTGCTTCCTCTTTATGACTGCAGAGAGGCTAGGCCATATCAGCCTTATTATGTCCGGATGTTAGCCAGAGAGTGTCCTGTCACATGGAAACATCTCTTCTTTCTTGTCTCTGCAGTATCGGTGTTTTTTGCGCTTTTGCCACAAACCAGAACCTTACAACTCAAGTTCAAGGAATGCGGCCTCTAATAAAGAGTAATTTTAAAGACCTGAGAACTCTTCTGACTGATACTCCAGAGGTAATGACATAATTTCTTAGTATAAGATGATGAAATCCTGCTGTTGCAGGATTTTATGACTCTTTTTTTTTGCAAGAAGAAGTCATGACTTTTAAATGAAGGAGTGTGGTTTAATAGGAAGAGCACTTGATTTGAAATCAGAAAACCTTATTTTGAATCCTAATGCTGCCCATTTGTGTGACTGAACACATTTTTTTAACTTCCCTGGGCCTCAGTCTGCTCCTTTGTAAAATGGGAATACTATTAGTTGTTCTACCTCACTCACAAAGTAGAGGAGGAAAGTGGAAGATAATAGAACTATCCCTTTTGTCCCAAAAATTGTAGTGCAATTTTAAGCTATTAACGCTTTAAAGCTTTTAATAAAGGTATTAAAAGCTTGAAACATCAATAAGACTTTTGACACATCCTGGGTAAATGTAATTTACTATTTAGATGGATCAAATAATTTGATTCTTGTGGTAACCCTGTCATGTAAGTAGGGTAGATGTTATCTTTTGGCTTCTCTCATTCCTTTACAAGGAAGGCATCACAGCAAAGTGAGGAGTAATGCATGTGTAACCCCTGAGTAAATCACTTCCTTAGAGTATATTGATTTCCTCCTCTGTACCATGTGAGCAGCACTGTGTGGTATAAAGAGCCCTAGATTGGGGAGTTTGAGGACTCTGTGTGACTTATCTACCTGCCCTGACCCACACCAATCAGGGCCTCAGCTTCCTCATCTCTCCTAGAGGTCTCAAATCCTGTAATCAGTTCTAAAATGTGTGCTTCCTATAATTGCTACGTAAACTGTTAAGTACTTTATAAGTGATGAGCTGTGATAGTGATGTGTATGTATGTGGTGAAGGCAGAGCCTACAGATGTGGTAAGGATCTGGCACTGTTTGATTCTCTGTTAGATCATACCTTATCCCAGGGTCCTGAAAATATTCTGTCCAGCAAGATTACTGCTCCCTAAACGTCCAAGACTATTGTGTTTTGACAGACAATGAGTATTAATCATTTCGTTGGGTTTTTAGAAGTCATCTAATAGAACAGAGAACCAGGAGAGATGAATTTTATTCCTAGTTACTGTTGTCTCAAATTTTCCTTACCTGTTAATAAAGTCTGTAGTATTTTCTCCCTACTTACCTTGCTATTTTAACTATTTCCAAGATCCATAAAAGATGTATTATAAAACTTCTTCACTTTAAAAAATGGTGCCAAATTAAACCCATCTAAGTATTCTTTTCTTTTGCGAAAAGCATAGTTGCTGGGTGGGATTCAGAATCAATCAGTAAGCATTTATTAAGCATTTACTGTGTACAAGGCACTGTCCTAAGCTTGAGAATACAAAGACAAAAGTGAAACACTTTCTTCACCTTCATGGAACTTACCTTCTAATGGTAGAGACACCATGTACACATGCAATTATACACAGAAGTGTTGTTTGTCCTTTGTTCTTGAAGAGAACCATTACATAAGGAAGGTGATGCCATGACTTGCAAGTGAATTGGATTTAAGTGAGGGAGAGCTGTTTAAAGTCACCAGGCTCACTTTCTCGTCCAGAGTCATCTGCGTTCAGTAGCAAGATACAGATCAGGATGATCTGGAGATAGCCCTGGATGCAGAAGACCTTGGTCTTCTCAAGTGAAGGTCTTTCCAAGGTTTCACTTTGACTGAGGCAACACCCATTCAATGATTAAGAGTAGGTAAGAAATGAGCCAAGCAATGGCCCCTTTTACCTAATCCAAAAAAAAAAAATCAATCTGGCAGGGAAACAACTTCAGGGTTTCTGGCCAAAATATAAACAATTGCTATTTACGTTCACTGTGATCCAATCAGGGCCCAAACTATGTCCTGTTAGAATAAAGGATAAGGCATGGACTCAAGGCTTGTTTCCATTCTAGGATGAATCTGGCATCATTGGCAGCAATGGATGCCTTCCAGCCTGCGAGTTAGGGTCAAGAGGGAGCAAGCAAGATCAGATGTTAAATTCCCTTGAAGGAAAAACTTTAAAAAAAAACCCTAAAAACCCCCATAAAAGCTGTAGTTTACTAAATAAAAAGGATTCTTACTTAGCAAGGTGTCTCCCTCAGGTGTTGGTGACCTCTTCCCCAAACGTCCTTGTATTCATTTTGTATATTCTGTGTATAAGTAAGGCTTCTTGTAGAAGGTGACACATTGGTAAGTAAGAGATATTTTTCCCATTTTTAATACTTTTATGAGCAGTGTTTGATCTTTTTCTGTATTTTTGTTTTCAGCAAATCGATTATCTAGTAAGCCAATTCGATACCCCAAAGAATCAAGCACTGCTAGATCTTGACAGTAAGTAATTTTTTTTTAAAACACTATTTCATTTCTTTTTTTAATACTGTGAAAATCTCCCATAAAACAGAAAGTCAAATATAAGCCACATTATTAATACACACAGAATAAGCCAATATTCCATTGGGTCTGGGTTCTCATTCATGTAGATATTTCCTCCATTGACACAGTCCAGAACAGCATACATACCTGCGCATCTTGTATAACTCTCAGCCATAAGTTTGCTCTAGGGTAGTATTTGTTTAGCAGGCTAGGTGTCATCCCAGTTGTTTTTTTGATTTTTTTTTTTTTTGTATTGAGAGGATTTTTTAAAAACAGTAAGTGTGATTTCATTGGTGTCAGAAACTCTTCTATGGGGAAATGCCCTCTCCCATTGCTTATCTCTACCAATTAATTTGCCTGCAGAGGAAGCTTTTGCTGCTTCTGGTTCTTACTGCTGTTACTGTCAGAGAGGAGAGTAGATGGCGGCAGCAGGTGCTCTCAGTGTGAGTCTTTGGGGGCTAATGTTACTTCCCATCACCTGAGATGACCTTTTGAAAATATATTGCAATAAAATCCATGGCATTAATAAACAAAACATTGCAGGAAATTGGGCTTTGTTCACCCACCTGAGATTGAATCCAAATCGTATGCAGCAAAATGTAGCAGGCTTGGTAGTTAGTTAATTTGATGAATCAGAACCATAATAGCTACAAATCTGAATATTCTCAAATCTCTGTAGTTCAGGTTAATTTTAGAGGGAGCATATATGAATTACTGGTGGAAGACAATGGTTTTTTTTTTTAAAGAAATGCCATTTTAGTATTTTAATTCATTTCAGCCAGGATTCACTAAGTATCTGCTAAGTATCAGGCCCTGGCATACAGTGAGTATTTTGTAATGTTTATATTTCAAATACATATAAGCAACTGATTGCCAACACGGCTTTTCCAAATAAAAGCCTTCTGACCTTCTTCACGGAAGAGAAAAATACTCATTCGAAGTTAATATTATTCGTAGATTAAGTCACTATACTAGAGTCCCTTTTAAAAGTTTATTCTTATAAACACGTGCTTCCTATAATTTTCTAGGCATCATAAATTTGTTTAGGAAACCCGTTCTGCTAATGGAATCTCTAAGTCAGCTTTGGCCAAGTTAAGTTCAAGCTGTCACAGATTTTAAATGAGTGGTTTCCAATTCTGAGAGATTTATTTTGATCTTTTTTCTTCTTCTCCCCAAATCTTTTCTTTGTATGGTTTAGAAGAACACAATTGTTATTTTTTCTTATAATTTATATAGATAACTGGTTATTACAAATACTTTATTTTTTAAAATTTTATTTATTTTTAGTTTTCAATATTCACCTCCATATGATTTTGAGTTCCAAATTTTCTCCCCATCTCTCCCCTCCCCCCCATCCCAAGAGGATGTGGAAACTGATATAGGCTCTACATATACATTAATATTGAACCTATTTTCACATTAGTCATGTTGTAAAGAAGAATTAGATCCAATGGGAGAAATCATGAGAAAGAGGAAGGAAACAAAAAAAGAGATATCAAATAATGTGCTTCGATCTGCATCCAAACTCCATAGTTCTTTCTCAGGACGTGGACAACATTTTCCATCATGAGATCTTTGGAGTTGTCTTGGATCCTTGTATTGCTGAGAAGAGTTAAGTCTATCAAAGTTAGTCATCATACAATGTGGCTGTTACTGTGTAGTGTTCTGGCTCTGCTCACTTCACTCAGCATCAGTTCATATAAGTCTTTCCAGGTTTTTCTGAGGTCTGCCTGCTCATCATTTCTTATTACAAATACTTTAGATACATACCTGAAACATACCTTGGAATCACGGCCGCAAACTCAGCGTGTCTCAAGAGGGACAATGGATGTACTCATACCTGCATTTAACTAAGAAAAATCCTTAAGGTTCTTCATTTGTCTGGAAGTCAACCTTCAGCCTGTTTCATACTTTCATTGAGGCAACCATGTTTGGAGTCTTAAGTGAAGGTCTCTTCAAGCACCATGGCGCTCACAATGAGACAGTAAGGAAATATACAGAAGTGCCTCCTCCTCATCAGTTTGGTTTCTCTCTAATGCAGATATTGGACCATTGCTTGGAGGCCGAGTCCGAGATCGATTAGGAAAACGAGTCCTCCCAGCTCTTGATGCAGTTCTGACGATGGCAGGAGGTAAGCCCTGTGTTGCATATCAGTCATAACTGTGTCTCATACACAGATGATATGGCGTGTGATGGGTGGAGAGGTTTTGTAGTAGTTGGGATGCTTTCTACTGATATGGCCCCTCTTTCTTAACCAGACTTCCTGTATCCTGTTGTCAGCAGTTAGGGCTGGCTTTTGTGACTTTCTCCTAATTCTGCTCTTACATGATTACATTTATCTTTTTTATCTGGACTGGTGATTTCATTTGTCTTGGGAACTTCTGGTGTGAACATTCCCTCCACGGCTGAAAATCAGATATCTAGGGCAAGAAAAGACTTCAGAAGTCATCTCGTCCAACCTGTTTCTTTTACAGATGAGGAAACCGAGACCCAGGGAAATAAAGTGATAAGCTGGAAACTGTCAATCATTTGTGATCTTAAGGGAGTGGCCAGGGATTCAGTGAGATGGGAAAGGACTTGTCCATGGTCACATAGCTAGTTATGTGCCAAAGACAGGATTTGAACCTTACTTTTCCTGCCTCCAAAGCAGGCTCTCTATCCACTGTCACATTACCTCCTATGTATATTTATAGCATAGTGACTTTGCTTAGGCTATAGGCATACTCCTGAAGTTATATGTAAATGTAATGGTTATAAAATGAATCATTCTAACTATCCTCTGGGAAATCAATATTTAAAAGGATCCTATACAGAATCTTTTGAGAGTCAAAGAGTTGTCCAGGTTAGCTGGAACCATTGATTATAGAAGAGAATTACTGTGTCATAGAGCACCCCACCCAAAGGACTGGTTTACATTTTAGGGATATCATGTAATCATTGATGATCATTGATGTTAATGAAGATGACCCAAATTATACTTAATACACTCTACTTAAGAAGATAGGAAAGTGTGTGGATCCATCTTCGATTAGTTTCCATTCTTTTAGCATAAATGTTTGTTGCTTGGTGAGCCTATATTTACTTTAAAGTAAAGGAGCTTACCTTGTATTTACTTTTATATGGACACATTATCTTTCCCAATAGGATGTAATCTGCTTGAGGACAGGAATTCTTTCATTTTCAACTTTGTATCATCACTGCCATAGTAGGTAACTTTTGCTACTTACTCATAAGACTTACTATCCACATGTTAAGAATGAGGAAACCAAGAGCTCAGCAAAGTTAACTGATTTGCCGGAGGTCTGGTAATCAGTAAGTAGAAGAACTAGGAGGCAAACCCCAAGTCTTCTGATGCCAAGTCCAGTGTTTTCAATTCAGCAAGGACTTAATAAGCACCTACTGTGTGTAAGGCACTGTGCCATAAACCCTTAAAATAAACCCCTCATTGAAATTGAACCTTCAGTTTTTCAGGTTCTTAAAATTAGTTAAGCTCTTCACCTAGAAAATCGGAGAGATTTGAGAAAGTGTCTGATTTGGAGTCAGAACCTGGGTTCAAATCTTACCTTGGCCACTTTAGCTATATGACTTTGGAAAAGTCACTTACCCTCTCTTGGGCCCAATTTCTATCCTCCTCTCTCTTCTTCTCTCCCTTCCTCTCTCTTTACCTTTCTTTCTCTCCTCTCCTTTCCCTCTTCTCTCTTCACTTTCCCCTTTGAATGTGGGTACATATATAACATTTATATAGTGATTTTCATTTGATGCTCATAACAAGCCTCTATTATGGTCCTTGCTTAATAGATGAGAAACAGGCCACAGGAGGCTGAGTGGTTTGCTCAGGGTTGCACTAGTATGTGTCTGAGATGAGTCTTGAAAAATCTTTGGATGAAGCAAGGTTGTGACTACATTTTTTAAAGTCCTTTCAGTCACATCTGACTCTCACACACAATTTTGGGGTTGTCTTGGCCAAGGTAGTGGAGTGGTTTGCCATTTTCTTCTCCAGCTCATTTTGCAGATTTGGAAACTGAGGCAAACAGAGTGAAGTTGCTTGCCCAGGGTCATATAGCTAGTAAGTATCTGAGGCCGAATTTGAACTCAGGAAGATGAAGTTTACTGACTCCAGGTCCAGCACTCTATCCACTGTGCCACCTAGCTGCCCACACAAGCCTGAGATCAAAAAATGCACCATAGTATTGTCTAAGGAAGCCTTGAGTGAAAAGTGAAAATCGGATCTAGAACCTTTAGTACTGTGTTCTGTGAAGCTCAGGTATTTTCAAGGGTTCATTTCTATGCCTCTGGTTGCTTTAGCATAGTGGGAAAAGTTGTATGTGTATTTGTTGGGGGTGTGATGGGTGTGGGTCTGTGAATTATGTTGTAATTCTGTGAACGAATTTAAAAAACAAAACAGAACCTGCAAGTAAGTATTTAGTACCTTATGGGGACACCTGAGATATGAGGGGGGATATTGGTCATGGTCCTAAAATGTCTTAATAGGTCTGATAGTGTCCATACACTAAAAGTCTTTGTCCAGATCATTGTATTTTCTTCATTATCCATCATTCTTTTGCTTTTGTTTTTAACTTGTAGTCAAAGTGGAAAGGGCTACCAAAGGTAAAAAAAAAAACAAACCCAACCCTCAGTTAAAATGTGTGCTCTGTGGTGTGGAGTCTCTATTCTAGTACACTGTTCCTTATTTTGGTGTATTTTCTCCTTGTGTGTGCCTAGTTATATCTGTGCTGTGTTTTCTTTTTCTTGGGTAACACAGTGACTGTTGGTCTTTATGTATGAGTTGGCTCAAGCCTCAGGGAAAAAAGGCTGTTTGAAAAACCTTTTCAGGTTGAGCGTTGGATTGAGGTGATGAACACAAGCCTTTTTTGTCGAGTACATTTGATAGTCTCCAACCAGGCCTAGATCTGTTATTCAAGATGGAGCTTCCATGGTACAACGCTTTATACTTTGGATACAAAAAAAGCTGACATTTCTGTGACACTTTTAAGATTTAAAAAGCAATTCCTTTAGAATAACCCTGTAAGATTGGTAATGCAAACATTACTATCCTCATTTCCCAGATGAGGGACACTGAGGTCCAAAAAGAAGACACAACTTTCCCAAGGTCACAGCTGGCAGGTGGCACAGGCTAGACTCAAATCTAGGTCTTCTGATCAAAAATCCAATAAGACTTATTCTGCCTAGTGTAGAAGAGTTCTTGGCTGGGAGTCAAGAGACCTGAGTCTTCTTCATGCACTTACTAATGTGTGGCACGTATTAAGTATTTGATAGATGCTTTATCTGTCTGTTTCTCTTACTAGCTGGATAACCTTGGGCAAGTCAGTAAAGTTCTCTTAGCCTCAGTGTCCTCATCTTTAAAGTGAAGATAATAATGCTTTTGATATTCCTTTACAGGATGGTTGTGAGAAAAGTACTTAGTAAATCTTAAAGTATTATGGAATTGTGAATTATTCCATCACGTCCCAAGACACAACTCCCTACCCACACTGTAACGTGATGTGACCAAGTTTGCCTGGAATATAAGTGTTAGTGTTCTTTTTACTAGCTGAGAGTTTTAACATGTTTCCATTGTATACTTTGGCCCAGCCTCAACATCCCATCAGTGAAGACCATGCAACCACCACCTCCCTTAGGACCAATTCCTGGTGGTTAAAAAAATAACAGTTTTACCCCAATTTTCAGTTACCATAACTTTATCTGACTCACACATCCATCAAAAGATGGCTTTTAAAAAGGCAAGTCTTGACTGGTATAATTGAGTTTACACAGTAGTTGATTCTTTAAAAGGAAGGAAGGAAAGAAAGAAATTTTTTGAACAGTATCTTTTTTTCATGTAGAAATTAGTTGTGATATTAGCATGTTGCCTGTTTTCTCCAGTTCATCATAGAATTGTAGTGGAAACACTTTTCCATTCCCCATAGTTGCCTGATGACCCAAAGCAAAACCGATCCCAAAAGGAGAGAAAATTGGATTAATTGTATTTTTTACGTTATTTTTACATCTAAAAACATCACCAAGAATCTTCATGTTGCCCTCAGTACCCATCATTGCTTAGGATTCCTCCTCATCTCTTAATTTCAAATTAGGTCTAGGAGTCTGATCATTGTAGTCTAAGTATTGGTCCAGGAAGGTAGGAAAGAAAATAAGAGAGTTGTATGTTATAATGGAAGTTTAGGCATTTGATTCTTTTTGTATGAGTTAGGTAAAATATTTCTCAGTATAAATTTTGACCCAAACCAGCTGGAATTTGTAGGGCTTGTCAGGTTCTCAATCCAATTAAACATACATTTATGGAATGCTTATCATGTGGTAGGTGCTGAGAGAGTTGACAGAAGTAAATAAGGGATCACACTTTGTCCTCAAGGGCTTATAGTTTCCTGGGATGGTAGAAGGGGATGGATTCCTTCTCTGGGGGGTTGTAAAAAAAGGCCCCTGGTGAAGGTAACATTTGCCCTGAGCCTTGAATGCTGAAGAATTGGTAAGATTTCGAGACACAACTCCGTGATATGGAGGAACATGACATTGTGATCCCCGTCATGGTGACTCTAACCCCAATCCTATATTTTCCACCCCATCCAGGCTCATTCGGAGCAATGATGGTGCCATTATTGTTATCCTGTAATGACTAGAGTGCCTGTAGTTGTCTCTTGGTTCAAACCAAAACTAGGGCTTGGAGAGAAATTTGCTGGCATGCCAGGCTTGAAGAGAAGCTGCTTCTTTATAGCCCCTTTTCTTTTCCCTGCCTTCAGCTCCCAGCATATATTTCTGATTGCCTCTTGAAATAAAATGACCTTCCAAATTCATAAGAGTCCCTTCAGCTATATAGTTGCCTCTTTGGTATCAGCAACAGAACCAATTTTAATTCACTAAGTAAATGGCTTCCTGTAACCTAAAAAGCGTTCCTTCATGCCCACAGTGATCAGAGAAACCAGAGAGGCGTTAGAGAATGTGAGTGCCTCCATGGAGATCCTGCAAGAGGGTAGCAACAGACTCAGCGCCAACCTGACCAATGCCAAAGAGAACCTGAACAACACCCTCAATGATGCTGCCTGCTCAGAGGCTCAGGCCGCCTCCACCTGCAACGCCGTTAGGAATTCATTAAACCAGCTGAGTATCAATGCCAACTTCAGTCGGGTAAGAAGAGTTCTTGCATCTGTAAGGGCAGAGCTCCATTACTCAAGCTTAGCCGTACGATTCTAAGAGAGTAGCTTATGGGCAGAAACCATCCTCCGCGTGCTCCTTTTTGGTTTGGCAGCAAGGGAAAGGAAATTGAATGCAGACCTCTTGCATTAAAATTCAGTGCTGTGTAATGACGAAGAGGAAACTCGACATTTATAGGACAAGGACTTTTTTGTAGATTATAAGGACCTTTTATGTAAATATTTGTGTCTTGTCTTTTTTTTTAAGACTGGATCTCCCTATCTTGCCCAGTCACTCACTGTTCTAATCCCACTACATTTCTTTACCCCTTCTTGGGCAGCCTGGAACCTCCTGGGGGCTCGTCATATTGGTGCCCAATTTAATGCTGGCGCCCTATCGACTTTAGCCCTGTGGCAGCTGAGGAAATGCCCCCCCCCCGCCACAGCCTCCCTAGTAACAGAGATTACAGGCATATGCTGCCACCCCCTACTCACACTTGTACATATGTCATTTTTTTAAAAAGCTAGATAGAGTCAGCCTTGGAGTCAGGAAATCCTTCTGTGTCTAACGTGTACTAGCTGTGTGACTGTGGGCAAGTCCTTTAACTGTCAGTGGCTCCAAGTAAGTGAAGAAGTTACAAGTTGTTGACGCATTAGTGGAGGGAACTTCCACTTTTGGCAGGGCAAGGACTGTCTTTCTGCTTCTCCTTCCCAACCCTTAGCACAGTATCTTACTCATAGTTAATGCTTAGTCAATCAATGCTTGTTGATTATCTGAATGATTGATTACCAATATTGCTGCATGTTTTCACTTATTTTTTTTTTGGTGGGGGGATCTGTTCTCTTTTTAGCTTCCACCGGTGACCTCACAGCTTGCCAAAGTCAGTGAAGTTCTTAAAATTGATTTAGCCAGTCTGGTCCAAAAGGTATGTTTTTGGAAATTACTGCAGATTATCCTGATCAGTTTAGAATGGTCAAAATGTATGGAAAGGGGGAGGCTGGCCAGGGAGAGGCAAGAAAGGAAACAGTGAAATGTCGGGGAGCTATGACCATCGTGGAATTGGTAAGAAGGTGCTTTCTCCAAGATAATTTCATTCCTTAATATTAACTAGGTGGATATCTGTATACTTTTGTATACTGCATTTCATCCATAATCTCTTCCTGGTGGGTATTCTTTCCCACTGCTGCCTATTGGGTCCCACCATTACCTTATTATTTGCTATTGTTATCCATGTCATTTCATAAATCTGACATTTATAATCCTCCCAGTTTGCTAGAGGACTTCCCCTAGGGTTTTTAATATTTTGTAAGTACTACTGCAGAACTCAGAATGTTCACCTGTTAGACCTTGCCGTAAGATTGGCCCACCGTTTTTTTTTTTCTCATAGATGCTCATCAATGTCATATACCTCTCACCATATACAAGTCCTCCTTTCTAATAAGTTGCAGTTCTCTTTATGAAAATGCACACATTCTTTATACTATAGATGCAAAATATATAGATAGACGATATATAATCTTGATCATTACTGATTTACGTTATATTTCTTGGGTTTCCATGACCAGAGAATTTATCATCAAGTAATCAGCCTACTGTTGATATGCCTCTTACTATCTAATCAGTCATGTCCTCGGAAAACAGATACTTTTTGTTGCTGGGACTGTACTTGAAACCTTTGCAGCCTGAGAGAACCTGCTAGAGATTAGGCTTTTGTGCTTTGAAAAATAAGATGCTCTCCTTGCATTATAGTGGGACTTTCTTTTAATGTGGTCAAGGTGATTTCTGTTAATGGAATCATATTTTCTAATTAATTTCCATTAATTAAGTTTCATTGCAAGAGGGAAAAATGTTAGTTATATGTCTAAGGATATTATGGTAGAAATAGATGATAAGGGAAAGGAAGGGAGGTAGTTATAACTGGAGGAACATATAACTCAAGTGATGAACTGGTACACAGAAAATAATAAGAGAACCCGAAGAAGTCCGTAAGTTCACTGAGTAGACCCTCTGTGTAGAAAGAAGATGAATGGGAATTTCATAGATGAGATGGCAGGGATAGGTTGGGATTAGCTCTAATGGAATGCTTTGCACATGTACGCAATACAAATATGTGCGTCTGTATATGTGAAAAATTAGCTATGTATGCATAATATAATGAGACTGTTTGCACTTTGCAATCCATTCAGACTGACCCCTCTCTCTCATGAGTGCGCACGTGTGCACACACACACACAGAGCTCAAGTACTGTCTACTATATGAATATTTTCCTGATTCCCCACCTGCTAAAACCCTCTTCCCAAACTACCTCCCAAATATTTAGTTATTTTGTATTTATTTGAATTTATTCACTTTATTTTTTATGAGTTATATATTTATAGATGTTACTTGTTGTCTGCCCTATTAGAATGTAAGTTCCTTACAAATAAGAATTATTTCATTCATTATATTTGTATGCCCAGCACATTGTTTAACACATAGTACTCAGTAAATTCTCATTTATTGATCTGTTATTGATGATTTTCATATACCTAAACACTATGTATTCTGTAAAGGCAAATTTTAACATTGATGGCCCTGCCCTCAGGGAGCTTATAATCTTAATTACTTCTACAAAATGAAGTAGCTGGATAAATAAATTTCATTACTTCACTTCAGCAAATATTTAAGTACCTGTTCGGGGTGTGAGACTGTGCAGAGCACTGGGGATAGGAAGACATCAAGAAAATAGTTGCTGTCTTCACAGAGAACCTGTGTTCTTTGTAGATAAATGGATTAAGTGTGGGACACTGCACACACACACACACACACACACAATACAAATGTGTGTGTGTATGTATGTATGAAAATGATAAATGACTGGACCTTCAGTCAGGAGGACCCATGTTCCATGATCACCCAAGACACTTAATGGCTTGATCTCTTGACATCTCTCCCCTTTACTTTCCTTATCTTTAAAATGGGGATAATAATAGCACCTACTTGCTGTTGGGATCTCGTGAGAGCAACTTTCAAAGCACTATATAAAAAAAGTCAGCTTACTGTTAGAATTATTATTAAGAGCCATTCAATGTGTAAACACTATAGCTAACACGATTTGATATAATTTGAAGAGGGATAGAGAAGTAACATGTGATGGAGAGGGCTTGAGGAATCAAGAAAAGCTTTGCACAGGAGGTGATAGCCGTGAAGGAAACAGGATTCTAAGAGTCAGAGAGGAGGCCAGAGTAGATTTCAGACTTAAAAGATAGTCAGTACCAAGGGATGGATATGAGAAATATGGCATCAAGTTTATCAAACAGCTAGAAGTCTAGTAGTAGAGCTGGCTAGAATATAAGAGTATATAAAAAAGATGAATATAAAATGGGTCATTATAGCAGTCTAGAGCCAAATTATAGACTGAGGAGTTTGCATGTTATCTCAGAGGCATTGGGAAGCCACTGAAGACTGTTGAGCAAAGGAGATGACATTACCATATGGGTGATGGATTCAAGTGAGGAGAGGTTAGAAGCAGTGAGATCAATTAGATTATTACAGTAGCAAGCCCAGTCAAGAAAGGAGCTTGCATTTGTGTGGTAGTTCTATAAGCAGTGTTGAGGGAATGGATGCAACAGATGTTATGAAGGACAAGGCTTGGCAACTGGTTGTATGTGAGGATGAGGGATAAAGAGAATGGTCAAGGATCCCACCAAAGTTGAGGACTCATGTAACTCGGAACGATGGTGTTAACGTTGGTAGAAATTGAGAGGTGGGGGGGTAGGACATCAATTTTGCCTTTTGCATATGTTGAGTCTGATAAGCTGAAGAGAGGTCCTAATGAGTAATTGGTGACACAGGTTTGGAATTCAGGAGAAATCTCTTGCAGAGCGTGTGGATTGCAGGAGCTGTCTGAATAGAGAGTGGGAGCAGCTCAGATCATCAAAGGGAGAGAATGTAGAGAGAGAAGAGAACTCCTTCTAGAAGCTCAGTGGATGGCTGCACATAGGAGATGATCCAGCACAGGAGAATGAAGATTGCTGGCAAATGGGAGCAGATACAAGAAATAGAAGCATCATGGAACATGCTATGTTAAGATCCTCCGAACTCGAAGATTTATGACCTATAGTTTGATGCTGGCATGACTAGAAAAGGATATTACACACGCACAAATCTGGCCAAACACTGCTAATGTTTAACTTAAGGCAAACTTAATATATGGAAATTTACACTTAGTGAAAAAAATAAATCATGGTAATCTTTTTTTATACTCTGTGATACCCCTATGGGCAAAACAATAAAATAGCTTATATAATTGAAAAACTTACCAAGATACTAAATGAACACTTGAACTGCCAATAACAGACCCAAAGAGACTTAAATAAGAAATTCAGGAAATACACAGACTTTTAGTTAGAGACATCTGAAAAATATTCCAAGAATTCTGTTTCTTAAATCTCAAATTTAACCACATGGATACTTTGTGACTGGTAAAATTTAAGGCTAGCCCCTCTCCCACAGCTCCCTGTGGAAACAGATCTCTAATTTTACAGTGGAAAAAATTGGAAAATGTTTCAGAAATTCACTTTACATACAAATTTTCAGTTACACATTTCCATAACGACATCTTGTACCCTACGCTATATAAATTAATTGTCATTCCCTCTTCCTGAGATCGCCATAAAGATTTGTAAGCTAACATTTGTTTTGAATTTCTTATTGAAGAACATTATTCAAATTATTTGCTAGAAAGAGACTTTTTTAAAAAATCTGAAAGGGCGTCGGTGGAGTTTGTAGTTTTTAGTGTTCTGAAGAATAAGTATGAACTGTTGTTTTGGTGTTTTTTTTTACTGTATGAATCCCTTTTTTTCCCCAAAATATACTTTAGGGATATGCAGCATTTAATGATACGCCTAATTTGGTGCAGAATCAAACCAAGAATATCGTGTCAGGTGAGACTGATAAAGTACAGAGTCGTTTTCCTTCTCTGTGGCTGATGCTTGCATTATAATATTTGAAACTTGCTTTTGTTCAGTCTGCTAATTTAAAAAGTGCTTAGAGGGATGGTACTCTTGAATCCTTGGGAAGTTAACCTTCTTTCACTTGAATTGTAACTATCAGATGAGGATCAATGAAATAAAATTGACCAATATTTCACTTTTTCTTCCAGTTTAATACTTTTATGCAGTACCCCATGTACTCAACTAGTGCCCCCTAGCAGTGACTTCATAATTTAAGCTCCACCACACCATTATGTCAGACCTCAGAATAATGTCATTTGGCTGATTGCCTGCAGGGCACATTAGATAACTAGTGACAATCTAAATTAACACTTGAACCCAAGTGGCATTGAATTCCAGCATTATTATCCTATTTGTCCTATTTAAATAATTTTTCTTATGTACCTAAAACCCTATCCCACCCCCCACCCCCAATGTTTTTCATCTGGCATTGTGTTTTCACAGCACCAATTAACTCTCGAGTAGGTTACACATCTATTTTTTCCTATAAGCTTTTTAAGAAAAACATATTTTCTACAATGCTGATGAAATGGTATTTGAAATACACATCATTCTTGCTTAAGACTCCATAGAGTCAGATGAGATTTTAAAACAATTCCACTGGTCTTAAAAGTTGGATATCTATTCCAGTAGGATATGATTATTTGCCACTACAAGCAAGAAAGTGTACTATAATTCATTCTTTTTGGTGTTATAGTGATAAACCGAGGTTGATCATTTCACTAAGGCAAACTCTACTGATATGTATTAGATGAATCTCTCTGATTGCTAAAATCATAAACCATGTTTTCAGCGCCTCTTCTATTAGGCTTGCTGTCAAAGCACCCTTAAAACATGGGTTATTTCAACAGATATTAAGTGCCTATTATGTATAAGGTCCTGTGCCAGAGGCTTGGAGAGATGCCAAGATAAATGTAGGGTATATACCATCAAGGACTTTACAATCTAGTTGAGGAGATAGTACATGGATGTATTTCTATTATAAAATACTATTTTATTCATAGTTTTCATAAAGCTGTCTTATCACCTTTTATTAAAGGAGTACTCTTTTATAAAAGAAAAATAAAATATAATTTTATTTTTAATTTTTAATTTAAATTTTTAATTTAAATTTTATAAAAACTCTTTATTAAAATATCCCATTGTTTGGATTTTTCAATGATTTATATATTTTAAATGAAATCTTTCCTCCCCCCAAGATATTAACAACATTATTGTTAATATGCGGTATGCTTCTCATATAAACTTGCTTACTAATCTCTCTTTAATTTTTGCTTCCTCTTTGTGGATCTGTTCTGTCAATATACACAGCCCTTCCTTGTAAGTCCAGCAAAACTGTACCCACACTTATGGGATTTATGTTACCTATTGGGTGGAGTTTCCTAAAGCAAGCCAGAGTTTTCTCAGAAGGCCATTTTAAATTTAATTGAGTTGATTCTGCCTGTAATTTACTCATTTTCCTGAGGATTCTCAGGCAATTGGGGCTCTAGTGCAAAGACAGTATTGAATGAGATGATAACATCCATTTTACTAAAAGTGCCACTGGATCAAGTCCATAGTCATACTATTATAAAGGGGAAAGAAATCATTAAAATAGCTGAAAAGAATAGCTTTGAATGAAAAATTATTGGTTTATGTCTGTCTACAGACATAGATTCTGTGCCAAAGAACCAAGGTTAGATTAGGGTACTGGCCAAAGCTTTTCTAGACAATTCACTGTCAGTATTTGTAGGATTCCCACTTACAGCATTTTTGTAGGTGCTATGCAGAATATGAAATATATGATGCAGTCACTCCCCCTAAGGACCTGTGCTGTTTCTACTTTCCTGTGTTGCTTCTGAGGCCAGGTATTGTCCCTAGACTCTTAACAACATCTTCACAATGGTGTTCCCAATGTTTTAAAATCACACCATAATTACAATGTCACTACAGCTTTACCTTGGCACTGATTTATGTTTTGGTGTTTTAAATAAAAAGAAAATATCAATGGAAAAAAAAGTTAATTTTGGGTAGAAGATGGGAGGAAAATAAATGCAGCTATGTGACACAGTGGATAGAGCACCAGCCTTAGAGTCAGGAAGACCTGAGTTCAAATCTAGCCTCAGACACTTGCTGTGTGTCAGTGTCTGGGTAAGTCACTTAACCCCAGTTGCCTCCAAAAAAAAAAGATAAATAGCCTAGTCACATCATTTTTACAGAACTTAGATTTTGAAACAGATAGTAGACCTCCAAGGCCCACCAAGGGCCACTGAAATGAGCTCTGACCCGTGTCTGATCTTTATCTTTGTCAGAAATTAATGAACTTGTAGCTAGTCTGAATACACTTAGGGAGACCTGTGGCATAGCATCTATGTGTCAGTGACTATGTGGGGTAAAAAGCCACATGGGTAGGTGGAGGAGGATGGGTGAGGCAACTTTGGAGATCCCCTCTCTAAAAGGTTATGTTTCTGTGTTGAGGCATAATTGGCCCAAGCCCATTACTGGGATGCATGGTTCTGATACATCTTTACCTCATTTCAGTTTCCAAAAAAAATAGTATTTGTTCAGCTAGAAGATCCATTTTGATTGAGAGGCATAGCTGATGCTTTTTGGCCATGTGGAGAAAACGTAATAGAGTGTTAAATGCTTCAGCGTGTACCCTGAGAAAAATCATAGACTCCAAAGTCCACGTTTCATCTGAGAATTAAGTCACCTGGTGGGCATTCAGAAATGACCTTGAAAATTACTTGCCTCTGTTGAGCCATTTCCTCAGTGTGGGAAATGCCAGTATAAGATTTCATCATTTCCAAGTTAAGAACCTCTTCTTTTTTACTCAGTTAAATAGAAAAAGGAAACTCTGGCTTGATTCCACATTCTGCATTATTCAATTCTGTGTAAACAGTGTTATTCTGTTAATAATGGCTTTTTAGTGGTTTGGCCGCATTCATACTTGCCTGAGCACCTGGCTTTGTTTTGAGGATATAAGTGAGGAGGATTGGGGGGTCAATATGGGTGTTAGTTTATGCTTTTTTCATTTTGCTTCTAAGATGTTTTTGTGGGTTTCCCCCCCTCGGGTTGGTAATTTTATAACAGAAATGTGTTTATTTTCAGATGTCAAAAGTGTTTTGGATTCCATTGGCACAAATATCACCGTTGTAGTCAAAACGCTTCCTATTCAGAAGACGATAACAGATTTCATAATTTATCTTACTCAGAGTGAGACATATATTGAAGATCATTTCGCCTTAGTTGAACAATATGACTTCTATAGGTGAGTAGTTGCCTTAGAGATGCTAAAGTAGATGATATCTAAAAAGTATTTTTAAATTCTAAATTTTTTTGGAAAGTCTTGCGTGAGGGTTGTCAAAACAGGGGGTGATGGTTGTTAGATCTGTGTAGTCAGAAAAAATTGATGTATAACAGTTCTTGAATGAAGGTGGGCAACATCTTCACAAAATTTCACATTTTTACAGAATTTCAGGATGGGAAGGGACCTCAGAGGCCATTTGGTTTAGCCTATACTTGAATAAATAGCACAGTGAATAAAGCAGCAGGTCTAATCAGGAAGACCTCAGTTTAAATCAGTCCTCAGCCATTTACTACTAGCTTTGTGACCCTGGGCAAGTCACTTTAATCCTGTTTGCCTCCGTTTCCTTATCTGTAAAATGATCTCGAGAAGGAAACAAACCACTCCAGTGTCTCTGCCAGTCCCAAATGGGGTCATGAGGAGTCCGACGCAACTAAAAATGACAACAACAGCATGGGTATTAGGGATCCAATTTGTTCTCTTTGGCCCCAGAAGGCAGAACAAGTAGCAGAGAGGAGAAGTTGTAGAGTTAAATGTCAGGGAATACTTCCTAGCAGTTTTAACTGTTCAAAAGCGGGATGAGCACCCTTAATTTCAAGAGGACATTCCAGCATGGTCCAGGTGACCGTACGGTCAGTAGGAATTCTCTCCTCTGTGGATCAGGCTAGAAGGCCGCTGAGGTCCCTTTCAGCTCCGCAATTCTTTGATTCTCTGAAGAATAGAAAGATTGGGAAACCTGTTGGAGATTTGTAACGATGGAGCTGTGAGATCACGAGGGTCTGAACTAGGACGAGAGGAATGGCAGTGGCAAAGAAAACAAAAGAAGGAGCTTTTCTGGAGTATTGGAAGAAGCCCTAAGTGTGAGTTAGGTGACTGAGCTATATGGTGCCGCACGATGACTTTCTGTTTCCTCATCTGTAAAATGGGGGACTCTAAAGTCCCCTTCAGCTCCAAAATGCAACGTTTTCAAGGTAGAGCCAAGGAAAATTTGGTGATTTACCAGATAGGTAGGGAAGGGGGGGAATCAAGAATGGCTGAAGTTTTCAGTGAGTTACCTGGAGTGGATGGTACCTTGAACGGAGAAATTCATAAAGGGGTAAAGTTGATTGTCTCAAGGCTATGTCGCCTCCTAGAATGGGCCATTTGCCCCAGGAATACTGGTAATTCAGAATTGCGCTTAGCAGTATGTGGCATGTAGCAGGCTCTTAACAGATGTTGATTGATTGATTGCTAATTTTGCTAGATTGTCTAGTCTGCTTAGATTTTGTCTTCTGTGCCTTTTTTCCCAGCACATGAGAAATGAACAATGGTGTTGTTGAAGGAGCATTGGAATCCTGGGATTAGACCTGGGTCTTTAGGCCTAGGCTTCCTTCTCTGTAAAATGAGGGGTTTACCATCAGTGATCTCTAAAGACCTTTCCAGTCTTATGATAATATTTCTTACTCCTCTCCCCAGTCTATACATCTTATAGTGATAATAACAAGCATTTCTTCAGTACTCACGATAGTAATAATAATAATAGCTAACATTTATGTAACACTGGAAAGCTTATAAAGCACTTTACATTTATTATCTTATTTGATTCTCACAACTCTGTGAGGTAGGTGCTAGTATTATACCCATTTTATAGATGAGCAAAATGAGGCTTAGAAAAGTTAAGTGATTTGCTTCTAGGGTTGTCCAGCTATTAACTGAAGCAGGATTCAAACTCAGGTCTTCCTAACTCCCAATCTGGCATTCTGACGACTAGGGCACATAAAGGTCCCTGGACAGAACCTGTGCAAGTGCAGAAGATATGAAGAGATACAAAGACAAGATGGGGAAAAAAATCCTTTTCCTTAAGGAGTTTATATTCTACTGAGTTATTTATATACATTATTTCATTTGAACCTCACAACAGTCTTTTGAGGTAAAAATGTAATGTGGCTCCTCCCCCTATCAACTGGGTAGTACAGTGGATAGAGGGCTGGAGTCAGGAAGACCTGAGTTCAAATCCAGCCTCAGATACTTACTAGCTGTGTGACCTTGATCTGTGTGCCTCAGTTTCCTCACCTTTAAAATGGAGGTAATAATAGCACCTGTCTTACGAAGTTGTTATGATGATCAAATGAGATAATAATTGTAATACGCTTAGCACAGAGCTTGGAGCAGAAGCACTGCATAAATGTTAACTACTACCACTGCTACTACTACTACTACTACCACCACTACTGTTACTACTACTACTACTA